TTCATCGAGAATTTAGCCACGTGTGCCAATGCCACGTCAATTTCTGCAATTGCACAATTTCTGGTCATTTGAAGGCGAGGGTAGCCATGACATAGTAGCAGCAGCGTTTTCTGGACGACGGAGAGCAGTGCGTTGTGGAGTGCTTCAAAAACACTGCTTTCGTTTTTGGGCCCCGAATGGCTTCGCGTAAAAATATCACAAGCGTCTCCGCTGTTTCTACGCCGCTGGAACACAGGCAATTTACAACAAATAGCCGTAATAATTTACTCGTCAACAGGCTCCGTTTAAAAACATACTGAGAAAAGAACAACGGGGTGTATTGACGTTGGCAATAAAAAATTCTCACAGTGAGTCATGATAGAATTCCCTCAGAAATCAACACCGACTGTTAAAACTAGAAATGATAAGCATATCACCACAAGGAAAACACCCCATCGATTGCAATGGAACAAACGGATATGATAAAACAACATAAGCAACAGTAAACCGGATTCAACCAAACATTCGCCTCTTTCATTACACTGGCTATAACTAGACAGAACCACAGAAATCACCGTAACAGCTTCGATGAGCAAAGTTACGGAAAATAGGTTCAAAATGAGGAAAAATATAGAGAAGAAAACTCATAACAACGAGTCCAGAGGGGTCCACACGTAAAACTTTCAGAAGCTGAAGTAAGCTAGTTAGCTAAGGCGATACCTGCTTATTCACATTATATCTAAAAGCTTTTTGAGTTCCACGATCAACTGCCAATCATTGCGGCTGAGATCATCTCGAAAGTATGTCTTACAGGCATCGATCGATTCACGAGTAATCTGAAAAAAGGCAATGAGTAAAGTATCCGGAGCAAAGAGCACTAAGTCCTTATTTCAGTACCCAAGTCTGGAAAGTGCATTCTGACTTATAAGAAACAGTAAATAATTCAAAACCGAAGCTTATCCCAGAGAAATGGACAAGTGAAAGATGATAAACATGTGGAAGAAAGCTGAAAAACGACAGTACCGACAGTTCACAACCACGGATAAGCGCAACGCTGTGCTGACTGGCCCCACTAACGTTCCTACTCAACCATGTTTTCCATGGGACCACTTCCATTCGTTTGATCAACCCGAGTAAGAAATACGAAAAATAGATGAATGAAAAGTGTAGAGTAACCTCACTGCACAAGAATGAGAAAAAAAAAACGTACGGAATGTGAAAAATCTGCTTACATTATTCACACTTAAATTCTCCAAGACGCGCGTCACGACCGGAGTACGCGCAAAAGTTCGCCGCGCGCAAAATGGAAGAACCGAGAAATGGGTCCAGTAAGCGAGTCGCATCTTTCACGTGGGCGTACCGTGAGTACATTGTGTCACAGCTTTTACGCGAAAATCACTTACAGTTAGCTGCGAATCCCTCCGCTGCCCCGTTTGCGTCTCTAACCTTCGCTTGCCCACGCGAATGGCCTTCTGTCGGGTACCTGTCACGACGACACCCATAAGGGTGTGAGCCGCTAGCACCGGAAGTGACTTCTTTGCTTTTCGTGTTGAGGAACTTCTCCGCAGAGGGGAACCTTGGCCCCCTCACGATGAGTGAATCTAAGTGCAGCGAGAATGCTCTACGCTGCAAAAAGCTTAAGAGTCGCTTTTCTGTCCTAGCCACCCACGTCTCACCCTCAATGTCCTACAAGTGTATAACCCATGCTTAAAGACAGCGGTCGCGCTTGTTAAGCGACAGATGCGAGTTGGGCTCGTTGTCGCTGGAAGAGCATTGGAGGAAGACGTCGAGGGTAGTTGGGCTGCCCTTCAATGCCTTCCCACCAATGACAATGCGCTTTCACCGCTTCTGCCTCTCAGCCAACGCGACCGCTGCCTAACCAGTGTCCTCAACTCTGTGATTCTCACAAATGAAAGCTGCCCCCAAGCGAAAGATCAGTCACTTCATCACATTTGAATACAGCTGGCAAGAATTGACTAGACCTATCGACGCCATCCACTTCAAAAAAAAAGGCGCTGTTGTTTATTGCACTGATATCTTTGCCACTATCACCGCTTAAAAACCCCATCAGGACCAACCATGGTCGACGTACCAATTAATGTGCAGATGAGAAGGAAAGAAAGAAACGAAATGGGAAAAAGGAATTGCAGAGCACTCCCGAGTCATAAAACACGAACGAACTATTACTTACCCTACTAACGAGTATGTCTTCGTGATTGAAGTGTCGTCCGTACAACTTGGGAGCCTCACCAGTGGTATTCTCAATTTTGATGCATACCTGTAAGATAATGAGGTGATTTACCTGCGAAACGTTGCTTCTACTGAAATAATTCACGGACAACGGAAACTTCCAATATTTTCTAGCCGATACTTTCAACCATCATTTTTTTCTTGTGCTGTCGGAGCCTCATCAGGACCTGTATTGTATACCACAAAGAGGCACCAAAATTTCACTTCAAAAAAAAAACTCCAAAAGTTCAGAACTCCAAGTATTCCAAAAATTCTGAAAGTTTCCAAAAAAAAAAAACCAAGAAACGATTTGAAAAATTATTTTGAGGGGAATTGAAAATCGCAAAGGTTTTTTCCAAACTGTTTATTGGGTTTTTGGAATTGGAATACTTGAAATTTTGCGAAACTTGCAGAATAAGGATTTTCAGTGGTGTCCGCGCCGTCTTCAGCATCATTTTTTGACCATCTCGTAAAAATTCTCACGACCGCCACTACTTTTATGATGCAGGCATAAAGGATAACAGACATAATAAGGATTACTGCGCACCTCATCTCCTGCTTTTGCCATTTGCACTTCTTCGTGATTCCTCTCTATTGACGCCACAGCACCAAGGAAGATACACTAAAATAAAATAAAAAGAAATTAAAAAAAAAAACTTGAAAGCGTTGACAGCTCACCTCTTTGCTCGGCACACAAATTGGAGTTCCTCTTTTGAGCTGTCCAGCTTCAATGTTTACTCCACAGACAATAGGATTACGAGCATTGAACACATGTTGTGGAAGAATGCGTAATTTGCAAGGGAAGATCGCTAGGTGTTCATTTTCTTTACGTGCTTTCAATCGCAACTCTTCTCTAAAACAACCCGACTGTTACTAAATACTGACAAAATGGAAACTGGTACCACTCAAAAAGTATACCTGTATTTGAGGAAGTTATCTTCCAAGTGGTAAATGATATCGGCCTGGAAGATCTTCACTTTTTCATGATCGGCAAACAATTGCGCTTCTCGTTCCACTTTCACATCGAATGCAAGAATACACGCATACCTGAGATATTGAACATAAGAACTTAAAGGCACAATCCATAACAAAAATATGTGGTCACTTTCAATGAATACGAACCCAACAATGTACAGTGGATCGCTAGTGAACGAAAAGATGAAAAGAAATCAGCGGCAACACTAGAATTAAGGCTCTGGATGATTCACAATGAAAAGCCACTACGCCCGGCAACCGAACTGACCAAAGATTATAAAGCGTGTGCGAGACGCAGCCACCACGCGCCCAAGACCGTTCTATCGCAAACAACATCTGCATAGGCACTAAATTGAATGGAAAGGCTCTAGCGCGCTTGGCACACGTTTCTGCACATTTTTTTCAAGTTCTATCCCACTCAAAAAAAATCGGTGCCTTAACGACTGAGTGCGCCTTCAACTTATTAAGAAACTCACTCTGCTTTGTGCTCTAACATAGCTGCAGCTTTTTGAACATCTTTCTTATGGACAGGACCGATATTGACATTCGAGTACTGAAGAAAAATAAATTATTAAAATTAACAACAATGGATCGCATCAGTAAATAAAGAAATGTGTGCGGTGTTTGAAACATGCAAAATTACTGACAGGAGACTAACCGGAATTTTTTGCGTTTTCAAGAACTCCAACAAGGCTTCCAGTGACCCAAGGGTACTAGCTTGCACATAAACTCCTTCTGGTTTTTTCTTAATTGATGTCAGAGCTCGACTTAATTGTAGTTCGGCCTCGGCTCTAAAATAGCAGGGAGAATAAAAAATAAGGACGATTTAAAAATCAATCGAAAGAAGACTCACTTAAGGAGGTCGATCTCGTCTTCTTTATGAGCGACAAACAACGGCAAACCAGCTAAGCATTTCTCCAAGCCTTTGGCCAGAACCTTCACTCCTTGTGCTCCTTTTATCTCTTTGTAATGCCCATACTCATTCTGAAAATACAAAGAACGTAAGCTTTACACATCAAGAGCACAAAGAGGAGTTAGCACATATAAAGGATAAGAGTAAAAATAAATAAAAAAGAATAAAG